TCCATGAAGCAGTCAATTATACTCAAGCGACTCATGTATGCCTTTTTGTAAAACACGCGTAAACTGTGTTCAACCCTATCTTCAAACGACCTAGATCGTTGTCTAGATTTTAGGCCATCGGCCAATATGTCGATATACCGGTAAACCGGCCCCAATTGTAGCCATACAAATACAGTGCGAGTATACCGTTCACAAGTAGTTACTGGTGGCTGTTTTGACTCATACCAGCGCCGAGTAATTACCGCCATAACCAATGAGGGCAACAATACAAACAACAGGGTTAGCCCGCAATACCTGAGCAGAGTTATGTCAATAAATACGGTATTATTTTTATTTGTGAATTAATGTTAAATACTAAAACTTGCATAATACCAATAATGTTTATTAAAATAATGATGGGTCGCCAGCTTGACATCGCTGCCAACATCCCAGACGTAGACCACGATGGATGATATGGTCAATACAATGTTGGTGATGGTGAATGGTATTAGTTTGATCATGTTCTCGGCCTCTTCCGCCACCACTTGGTTGGGTTGATCAACACGTTTTGGTTCATTGTTTTGCTGGCAATCTGTGGTCAGTGGCGGAGCTGGTGGTGGTGTTGCCGATGATGTGTCGCCACTCGTGTGCCACTCATTCAATGGCTTAATGTCCGCCGATTGTGTCCACCGGACAAGCGTTTGGTTCACACGTGTCTGGCTATCGGTGTGTGAAGTGATTTCAATTGCCATTGATTTTAATTATGTTTATTATTTTTATAAAAGCATTATCATAATTTAAACATTTAATTGAATTTTATAATTACACTTTTTTAAAAGTTATTATACTTACAATTCTTAATTATTAAAACATAACATTTAATAAATATTTAATTAATGTTTTTAATGTTTCAAAAATTATTATTATTTTTATTAAAATTAATTAAAAAAAATATAAATCGTTAATTTGGCTAAATATTATAGTAGTAACCGTAGTGTACGATATGCCCTTTCGTACGATATACGTGCCGTACGATATACCACGTGACCCCGGTTGCGGTTCACCCCACAATGGCGGAAATGCCTTACCAAGCCTAGCCAATGGTTGCCATGGTAACCAAAGCTTACCAAGGGTAGCCCTTTTATTAAGTACAAGGCTTACCAAGCCTACCAACTGATTGTCATAGTAACCAAGCCTAGCCGTACGCCCCGGGGTCGGTACGCCCCACAATGGCGGAGATGCCTTACCAAGGCTAGCCAAGCCTTACCAAGGCTAGCCAAGCCTTACCAAGCCTAGCCAATGCCTTACCAAGGCTAACCAAGCCTTACCAAGCCTTACCAAGCCTAACCAATGGTTACCATAGTAACTAAACCTTACCAAGCCCACTGGACTGGGGTGCCACTGGACTTGCTGGGGTTCTATGGAGATAAGTCTTACTAAGCCTAACAAGCCTAACCAAAGCTTACCAAGCCTAGCCAAGCCTTACCAAGCCTTACCAATGGTTGCCATGGCAACCAAAGCTTACCAAGGGTACCCCATTATTGAGGCTATGTCTTACCAAGCCTACACACTGGTTGCCGTAGTAACCGTGCCACTGGACTGGGTTGCGGTTGGACTGGCTGGGGGTCTATGGAGCCAAGCTTACCAAGCCTACACAATGGTTGCCATAG